AGGAAAAGTTAGATATAATAGTTGGTCATGTATATTCGCATTTAAAAATAGATATGTATATTGCTTAAAAAAAAGTAAAAAATTTAAATGATTTTTGAAAGTCATGGGATTATATGAAAGTAAATATATATTTTATTGCCTAATAAAATAAGTATATATTTTATTTATTAGAATCAATTCAAGAGAGTTAAATGAAAGGGAAAAAATAAAACTCCGACCTGCCGGATTCGAACCAGCGACCTAAGGATTCCTGGAAGCTTAGCCAACTACAGTCCTCCGCTCTACCAACTGAGCTAAGGTCGGTTGATGAATCTTGTTTTCAATTTATTATATTAACCATATTTTATTTATTAATTTGTTGCCACTTTAAAATTTTGCAGCAATTGTTTGTTTTTTGTTTTCTTTTTTCTTTTAGAATATTAGGAGGTCACCGATGGTACATTTTACAAATTTGTAAACAATTAAAAGGCTACAATTTTATAATAGAGGAATTAGATAATATTGAAGTATGCTCAAACTTTAGCCAAGAATTGGAAGATGAAAAAGGTAGGTCAGTTCAATAAAAAAGCGAGCCAGTCGAATGAGGGAGATATGTTAACTTTTTCTTAGAAGATATATTAATTATGTTACAAGTTTAGTACATATATTTGTATATTTCTATCTAATTTATATATTAATTATGTTACAAGTTTAGTACATATATTTGTATATTTCTATCTAATTTAAGCTTTGTTGTTTATGATAAACATTTATTTTTTTTTAATTCACATATTTGTTAGATATTAAATTGAAAGGTTGGCTGGAATTACGTTGGACACAAAATTTAAGTTAATGATATTTTTTTTTAGAAATTAACGACTTACTAGACAATAAAATAAAAATAATATAAGCTCATTTCATAAGTTAACCAATTATGCTTTATATATTTATTAGATATATTTAATAACGTCCAAGAATCTTTTAGACAGTTATTTCAGAAGGAGAAAAAAAAAAACTTGTAGGCATAACTTTAAATTGTAGGAGAACTTTCAAGTTTAACTAACTAAACTTGTAATCTTGTACTTTTAAAATACTATATTTTATTTAGTTGACCTCTTAATAACATAATAAATGAAAAAAAATAAAAATAATTTTTTTGTTTAATTGTTATTATTATATATAAACCTGATGACTAAAAACATATTATTTGGAAGTTTAAATATCGCAACAAAATGTGTAAAAAGTGAAAGGATGATATCATGAGTATACAATTTTATTTATTAAAATAAATAAGTTTTAAGAAAAATGAAAAGGAAAAAATTCCGACCTGCCGGATTCGAACCAGCGACCTAAGGATATCTGAAAGCACAGCAACTACAGTCCTCCGCTCTACCAACTGAGCTAAGGTCGGATGATATTATCAGAGCAAAATTAATTATAAATCTATAATATTTATTTATTTATATATTTTAATGTTGCCACATGTTTGGTGTAAGCAATTGTTTATCTGTTTGTTTATTGCTTGTACTTCAAAGCTAATTTTATTTTGTTAAATTAAAAAATAAAAATTGACATTTTCATATTTTTACTTTTAATAAAGTTGTTATTTGGATCCAAATATAATACATTACTTAATTTAATTTACCAAATAGTATTATTGGATTATAAAATAATAAGCTTCACAAAATAATAACATTATTATTAGAAATCTTTAACTTTTTTTTCAACGGATAAAAGAAAATATACATCCGTGGTTGTTATAGAAAATGAGAGAAAGAGAGTTGTTTTATAGTTTTTTGAAAGGCCAAAGTTATATTAGACACAAACTTTTTTAAGTCTTTGAATTTATAAAATAATGAATGGGTAAGAGACTTACCGAACAACAAATTGTAAATTTAAGGACTTATTAAACAACTTTAAATTTTGTTGATTAGTTCACATCTCTTAAAGTTGATTGACTTATCGGTTATCATATACATTTGAATGTTAATGACTTCTTAGACACCATTTTTTAAATTAATGGACTAAACTTGTAATTTAATATACAATATTTTATTTATTTGACCTCTTTGTCCCTTCGATCGGATTTCATTTTTTTGGTCAAATCTTCAGAGGTTTTTTTTTTGGATTCTGATACCATTTTAAAATTTCATGGAGTTCAATCTCAAAGCAAATTGACATAAGTCTTTGTAAGGTCATTTTCTTTTTATTATTTATTTTTTTCTCAAAATTTTAGATGTCTAAATAATGATGTATCAAATGCCACAATCGATCATAATTTCGATTTTACTATTATAGTCAATTAGAATAATAATAGTAAAAATCACGTTGGTATGCATAATTACTCAAAATTGGATGAATCATGTTATGGGTTACATTACACTATAAAATTACCCAAGTCGAAGCACCCAACTAGGTGAGACTAGAGTCGACTGAATCTGATCGAGTCGATTCGCCTGAACCAACTTAAGAATACTCCCTCTAGAAATAAAAGGAGAGATTGGGACGCGAGAGATGCTCTCATAACTCCACTATTATTATTATTAACGAAACATTTTACTAACTTACATATTCAAATGTGTTGGACTTAGCATCACACTAATGTCGATGTGTAAGTGTTTGTCGGAGCTATAACGTTGGAGACTAAGCCAATTTCCTACGTCAACATGCCCTATTTCTAAAAATTTTGAAAGATAAAGAATCGAATAAATCTAAATGATGAATTGTTAAAAAATTTCATTCTATATATGGTAATAGGCAAACCATCATGGGTAGCTCATTGGTGCAAATGGTCTAGGGTATTTAAGAGGGAATGAATTCAAATCCCATGATGACCACCTATCTTAAGAATTAGTAATTTCTATGGCCCGGACACTCACGGATATAAACTATATATATATATGAAAATAGGCAGATAAAAAGTCAAAGGAGCATATTTTAGTGGTAATAACATATATCTCCAACCAAGAATTAAACATACTACCCAGTTTAAATTGGTTAATAATTTTGATTTTTTTCACATAAATCAATACAAAATTTACATAATTATTTTCCATAAACTAATAACTTCTTGAAATTTAAACAAATATTTTATCATATTGGATTTTGAACTCATCTAAATTTAATGTAAACATCTTTTATTATTTTGGTTTATGTTTAGAACATAATTTAAATTTGATGGGGTGGAGAACATTGTATCTTCTAATAAAATTTATTGTAATTCAAACTCTTAGAAACTGAAATTATGGATGAAAAAAATTCAAAAGATCGAGTTGTTGACTACACGCATAACGAATTAATTTCATTTGCCATCAAAATTCAACCTTAACCCAAAAGACCATTTCCTATGAATCAATTTCTTTAGTTGTGACTATACTTCAAAATCTTTGACATTTGACTGCAATTCTTTTTCTTTTTCCCATGGTCCAAATTTACTTGGAAAAACATATCAAATATAGTATTTGAATATATATATTATATTCTATCATTTATTTATTTTAAACTAAACATTTAATTTTTTAGCCATTTGTAAGTTCGCAGTTCTTCATCCTTATTCTCGGAAGAGTATCTACCTAGAAATTATTGTGTCACGACTATACGAAATACCTCGAAGAAGTTGGGTGACATCATCAAGCTGTTTTACCGAAGTTGAAGCAGAAACATGCTTGAAGATAATGCAAAATCTATCTTTATTTTGCTATTGTAAAGTCGTTTGTCAGTTTGTAATTTTTTCTTCTGCTTTTCTAGCTTTTTAGCTTTAGCTTTACTTTATTTTTTTTCTTACTTTTCCAAAGATAAGGTTACCTCGTCGACCACGCTTGTGAGCCAGTCTTATCTTTACTTTTCATAAAGTAGATTCCAAAGAGATAAGATGTCAGTCAGGGACATCTTATGTCGGCTCCAATTCTTATCATCTTTGTCTGTATTCATTTGTCTTGGCTAGAGATTTATTGATGTTGGAAGGCACAATAAGTATACTCATAGGCCTCGACCAGTAATGGTATAAAAAAATACTAAATTTTTTAAAATTGAGACCCATGGACACAGATGTAATATATATATTCAAAAGTAGGACTTCGGGAACAAAGTTTTGTTATTAAGTTGATACTTGTTCCCCTTACTTATAGGTGTAACCTGCAATATAGGTTTAAAAATAATGTCTTTTCAATAATACTTTTTGTTTATGCAACATCGATGAGGTCAAGTTATGATTAGAGGAAGAGCTCGAACGCCTTTAGCAGAGAGAAACATACACAAGAGAGACAAACACTCAACCGCTCAAGTCAATAGAAGAAGCTCGGGTTTAATATGGAATACGAGATAAAATGCGATACCTTATATTGAAGTGAGACCTTCTATTTATAGCTAGGTTGGAGATTTAACAACTGGTTATTTGTGTCGTTTTGAAGGTCGGGCGTGTTGGGTGTCCAATGTCAAACATAGAGACAAGCACACTACATGGAAGTGTTATTGTAGTTGTTTTACACCTAAGTATGATCTTGTTCGAGATATTTTCAAGTAAGATTAACCTTCCTCTATGCTCCATGTGGCAATATTATTCTATACTCCCAACACTTTTAATTATTAATTTTTTGACAGTTTTAATTAATAATTTAGTGTCATATATAACCTATTATAATCATTATTTTTTAACAATGGTACACCTGATCAATGTACATAGTAAAGATAATGATTGGAAACTTTGAAATATATTATATAATATACCCAAAACAAGCACGACTAGTTGTTGTTGCTTTTTATTTTTTATTTTTTTTTATTATTTTTAATTGTTGATTTAATTTTAAATGACAACACAACTTATCAATTATTTGCATGCTTCCAACTAAACTCCATCTTGGTTGAAATTTGCAATATGAACACAATATTTTATTTTTAACATATTTATTATTATTATTATTATTATTATAGGTATTGCTTCGTTATTTTAACTTTTAAAATTTTTATCAATCTTTCATTATGATCAACTTTTAAAATGTGAAGAATGAAATTCATATTTTGATATTTTTAACTTTTTAAAATTTCTCAATTATACCTTACTTCTTTCAATAATTTACATAAAGAGTTTATAAAAATTATAGGGTTAAATAAAATTTAGATATAGAGTTGCATAAAATAGATAAAATTTCTTCTACAAATGGACATTAAAATTCTAGAAACTCAACGGGAAAAATAGAGAGTTGAGAAAACATTAATAAAAAAAGTAAATATACTCATGATCATATAAGCGTATTTCATAAATTTGTTCTTATTTAAATATATCAAACCTTAAAAAAATAAGTCAAACCGAGTATAACTCAACGGTAATTGGTATATATCTCCGAATTCGATCGAAAAGGTTTAAGTTTGAATTTGCACCCCATTTATTATTATTATTATTATATTTCAAATTAGACGATGACAAATATTTCACTTGTTAAAGATCAAGAGAGCCAATTTAAGTTGTGTAATAATTTTCTTTTGTAATACATTACAATATATATGAATAAGAATAGGCTACGAGAAAGTTGCCATTTTGTAATGGATATGTACCTATCACAAAGATGTATAAAATAACCGAACGAATTTCTATATATCTTTTCCACTCGATCCATAAAAAATATTGAACCTTATTCCAATTCTTCTCTATTTTAGTTAAACTATTTCTCACAAGGTAGTTGATATTGATAAATCATCGATATAGTTTGTGTGAATACAAGAATGAAATTTGTGTGAATAAAGGAGGAGTAAGTATTACTTTTTCTCTTCTTTTTCTACTTTATTTATAAGGAAAGGACAAGCATAAGAATTTTTATTTTATTTTATAGTTTTTTAATACAACAATTTATGATATAGAAGATCAAAACTCGACTTTGGGAAAGGAGTACGTGCCAATCTCATGTTAATTTTTTTTTCCTTTTTTTCCTTCCATGTAGATGGGACCAAATTAATACTTAATAATAATGAGGAAACGACAAAGGGAATAACAAATGAATGGTGGCCAAAGCCATAAATGAAATGGATTCCAAGAACCAAAGTTTTTAATAATGATAAACATTGTATTTATATTCGAATGATTCTCTCACATATATTTATCCTGAACACGAGCACGACTCAGCAGTTAAGATATATTGCTATTTTTTTTAGATATGGAAGATTTAGTCATTCATCCTCATTTGTAGTATTAAAAAAATCTATAATATTTTCAAAAGTTTCAATTTTTTTTTTTAATTTTCAATATTTTCTTTAATAATGTCTATATTGTTGACAAATTATAAATTTATTAAAATTTAGATGCGGTATTTTTTTTCCCTCTTGATCAATCAATCTATCAACCTTAGTTATATATGTTTATATATTTTTCATACGTTCAATAACATGGGTAAAACCATATGTTTTATAAAGGGGGATAAATTATAAATTTTTCACTTTTCACGAGAAAAATCTGCCAATTTTAAAGCCAGGTATACAATTTAAGAAAAAACAATTATAAAATATGAAAAAAAAGTATGTATTTTTTTTTATCACTAGTTCTTTTTTTTGCTCAAACCTCTGTTTGATATGATAAATCAAGATATTTGAATTTTCGAACTATAAAAAATTATTAATGTCTTTTAAATTGTATTAAAAACTACCAGATGCATAGCTCAACGATAATTGATATATGTGTAAAAAAAACTATTAAAACAACATATTTAGCGAGTTGGGTGGAGATGTGTTAACCCAAGTGTCTGGGTGGATAATCAGCCGTTGTCGACGAGACAAAGTTTGGTGGTTTTAAAAGGTTGCTACAAGAATAGTTCGTTTATGGATGCCCGACTTGGTTGGACTACTTGGTTTATTCGACGCAGTTTAGGGCTTCGTTGGCAGGTGGGGAACGGTGAGTTGATATCTATTTAAAATATCTTTGATGCTCTAAAGAAATTTGTAGTAAGGAAAGGACCACTAGTAAGTATTATTCAAAGTGAGGACTAAACGGTAAGAAGGAAATTAGAAATTCAACCCCAATAAAGAATTCTAATTTCTAACAAAATAATCAGAAGGTTTAAAAAAATTAGGTGAAAAAAGGAAAATAAATACCAACTAGAGAAATTGTCCCATCAGGCGAACTTGGTCTGCAATCCGCCATTTATTATATTTAAATCTTCTTCTCCGTCTGCTCTTCTAGAAGGCCCGCACAACCAATAAAATAAAATTCTCTCTCTTCTTTCTCTCTCTAGACTAATTTTGTAGCAATTCCCTATAAGAAACCAGAGAAGCAAATTTATTCAATCTACGGATCGTATATTTTTCTCTCAATCTTCAGATTGAATAATTTTTCTCTCTAGTTTTCGTCATTGATGATTTTCAACTTTAGAGTTCATCAATCGGCTTCAATTTGCATTTTATCGGAACTCAGAAAATGGTAGTGGCTGATGAATCTTACAGAGGAGAAGACGCCTCCGACGATCTCTCGGAATATCCATGTCCACACGATGCAGAAGCCGAAGAAACTCTCTCTCTGTGCGACCTTCCGATTTACAGCGATGAATCCAATCGCGATGATTACTCCAAGCAGGATTACAGCGCTTCATTCGACAACGACGGGGATAACTTCTTCGAGTTTTCCAGCGACGATTTCTCTGTTTCTAATTCGGCTTATTCCGGATCTGATAACATAATCTTCTGCGGGAAACTCATTCCCTACAAACAGCCCAGCGATTCGCAGAACACAGGAAGAATCGCATCGGACAAAATTTCAGCAAAGAATTGCCAGTTCCGAACGAAATCGCATTCGTTCAACAACAAAAAACCGTCTGCAATTGACGCAAGAGGTGCGAGAACGAGAGGAGGTAAATGCTTCGATTCATTCTCCATTTCACTGCCGAAGAATCCTGAGTACATCGAACGGAAGAGAAGCCGGAAATTGGACAAATATGACTTCCCTGCGGAGAGAGCGATGATATTGGAATCGTCGACGACGAAATCGCGCTGGTTCTTGTTTCTGTTCGGTAGCGCGAGGTTCCCGAAGGAGATGGAACTGAGTGATATGAGGACAAGGCAGCGGCGGAGCAGTCCGCCGACGATGTTCCGGCCGTCGGAGGAGAGGAAAGTGGCCAGAGGAAGCGGCGGAAAGAAGACGACGGCTCACGGGCTATGGAAGCTTCTGAGGGCTCTGATAGGCTGCAGGAGCAGTGATCGAAACGTCGCCGTAAAAGGTTCCTTCAGTCCCATTCCAGTCGCGTGAGGGAACTGGAAGTCAGTTTTTGTAGACGGTTTTTTACACGAGTATCGTCTTATACCATATTTACCCTTTACCCACTTTTTCCTTTTAATTTTTTGTTGTGCCACTAAATTATTTTACCTAAATTAATTAATATTATATAATTAAAAAAATTTTCATTTCAATAAATTAATATTGGATAATAATAATACCTAATATGATGGAGCTCGAATTGAGATATAAAAGTAAATCATGAAATTTAAAACTAGGTTCGTGTATAGATGAAATATTTATTTGGGATATAATCGATAAATAAAATCAATTAAGAAGAAATTAACTTTTCTTTTTCCAAGAAAAGTAGAAAAAAGTTTACTTTATTTTCAGGGACAAGTCTGTAAAATAAATGTAATTATTTAGTAAAATAATAGGACAATCTAAGCCTTTTAGCACCATTTAAGTTTTTAAGTCTAGTACCTCTCGAAAATTCTACCCTAAATGTCACGGGTCAATCATGAAATCATATATATATATATATCTTTTTTGGCTTTTTTCTAATTTTTTATCGATATTTTCTCATATAGGATTTATTTTCATAATAAAATATAAAATTGCTCTTTCCTAAATCGAATTTTGAGGTGCATAATAATATTAATATTTACAACTTATTCAATCACAATTTTGAAAACACAAATAAAGGCCTATTTTCCAATTTGACCGACAACCTAGATTACACTTCCGAGTTGAACTTGTACCTCATCACACTTTCAAAGTGAAGTTAATTCAAGGTTTTCACTCTATAACAGCAATTAAGAGTAAAAAACGACAAGTCAATAATAAAATTTAATTAAAAATGTATTTTTCGAAATTAGAAAAAAAAAAGTTATAAAAGTAAAAAAGTTAATACCTTTTTACTTTTATATTTTCATTTTAATCCTACTCCCAAATTTATTTCATTTTAATCCTCAACTTTAAAATGTCTATTTTAACCTTTATACTTCAAGAGAGTGACCATTTTAATCTTTTTATTTTTATTTTTATCTTTCTTTTATTTTTATCATAATTTTAGTATGACACTCTCATACTAATTTTTTGAAATGTAACATAAATTTATATTAAACAATTTTTATTGGGTATAAAATTTTACAAATAGAGACAATTTGTCGTACCAAAATATACAAAAACCAAAATAAATAAAAACTAAAAGTACATGAACCAATATCAACAAAAATTAAAAATATAAGGACCAAAATGAACAAAATATATATATATTTTTGTCATTTTACTATAACAAAATATAAAATTCTCCTTAAAGTAATACTATTCATTTAATTATATTTGGAACCGTCTGCGATCATGCCAATGCATAGGAGTGAGAAAGGAAAAAAATTAATCAAGAGAAGAAAACAAAGGAAAATAGAAGCAAGATATATAATCCAACCCAAAGAATTCCATATCTTCACGAAAACATTAAATACATTTTAATGTCAAACCGTCAATAGTTCATTGGCATTATAATACAAATATATAACAACTTATTCTACAAACATTTTATAATAAAAAAAAATTAAGGAGTCATTTAAAGCAAACACCCAATAAAAAAATATGTTCATACAACCACTTGTTCAGGTGTAAGTTCTTAATTTCTTCTCATGGAAAACTAAAATTTTCCCACGTCCTCACACATTAATCTTCACATGTTACTTGATTACAACTCTAAAGAACAAAAAATCTATAATTAAGACGATAAACATGAAGAAACAATATGTAATTAAGAAATCCGCTCATAAAATTCAAAGAGAAGTCTGCAGTCCATATCCACCAATGGCAGAGCACCAACTCAGCTGTGCTTTCTGACTATAATTTATATGGTTGTTTCTCTTAATAAACATATACATGAATATCATTGACATTAAACAAGAACAAAAAAAATCAAAATTGAAACTTGCTTCCTCTTTGGAGAACTGAACAAGCAAGAGTACTATATGAAGAAAGACTTTTGAACATTTGGCATTTTCAGTTACCCAAAAGAATTGAAATTACCCCAAAGACTGAATTTCAATGCCGTAACCAATCAAGATGACTGACTATTTTCTCAGCATTCGTCTCATTAATAGTATTCTTCCGGTGCTAAAAGTTTGGTTCTAGGATCGGATCTATCCAACTCGTAGGCTCGTGATTTATGTCATATATCAACCTCGACCTTTGAATTTACAACCCAAGAGTTTCTAGGCCTAAAAACAGTATCAAAATTTCTGGGTTTGGGGCACGCACAGACTTTCAAGGAAAGAAGAGAGAGAGAGGACTGATAAACCTGTTCCTCAGATCACAAAAATGAGCACAACAGCAAATGCGTTCTTAAGTTTTCCTCTTTTTCGCTCTTCCCTTCTCTGAATCTCCTTTGCCATTAGCAGTTGATTCGATTTGGTTATTTTTAAGCTGCCGCTTTTTCTTCTTGTTCTTGTTCACTCCAGGAAACTACAAGATGGACTTTGGTAAGCTAAATGAAAACCTAGTTGAGTATTCTTTGTTTATATTGTCCTTAAAGACATATATATACACACACAATTAGATTTAAATAGGAAAAAAAAAGAAAGGAAAAAAACAGATAGTACCTTCTTATCCAAAACCAGATTCCTGGATCCAGCTTTGTCCATTATGCTTTTGTAATATTGTATAAATGGAACGTTGCTGTTGCATTTCTCAAGCTGCAATCGCCATATAATAAAAACGGTACTTGTCAATTCCTAGAACTGTGGAAATGAAACAATTAAAAGGTAACAAGAAAAAGGAAAGGAAACCTGAAGAAATGATTCAATAGCTTGCTGATCTTTTGGTGAAAATGATACTTCATCTCTCTTTTTTTGCACGAAGTCAATATTCTGCTCAACCTGAATGTCAAACAAAAGGTCTAAGAAATGTAACGCATGTATACAGAGGCACGTAAGATGACACAATTGAAATCTTGTAAAATATTAATATGGTAGTTAGATTAAAATATTTGGTTCCAACACAAAATACAACCAAATGAAATCACCATCTCAAGTTTTCAATTCATCTAAGGATTATTTCTATACTAAATGAAGGTTGTGTTAAGTACGAAATTAATTTACAGTAAGTTAGCCAAGTTAACTGATGATTACTGAAGAAGAAACACATTTGAAGCCAAAGTTTGACTATCTAACCAGCTATGTTTGAGACATACAACTCCAAGGGTTTCTGTACTTTCAAAAGTTTAAGAAACATTTAATAAGTCTAATTTCATTCTAGCAAATGTTGACAAACCACTAACCAGCAAGCTTTCTTAAGCGACACCGGCCAACTGCATTTGACAAGAGTTTCAGAGAACCCAACAGATAAAAATGTTACAGGAAATGAACTTTTTCCACAAAAAAATCTTTCTAGACAACACCAATCTACAAGTAGCCAACCTAAAATGGTAGAACATAGGATGAAAGCTAACACACAAGAAGCATCTATGGACTTCAACTATTTTTTGAAGTACAGTCTCAGAAAAATTACAAACTCACATTTGAAAAACAACAGTGGATCCAAGCAAGATAGCTCTACCTGATCAATAAAACGCTTTACCAAGCGCTTGAGATTCTCTGTTGTTGTTGTCGCATGGAACTTCTTAAGTTGAATAAGTGGTATAGTAGCTAGCTCAGGAAAGGATATATTGTAGCTCCATTGACAAAAGTGAACTGAAAGAAGTTCAATGGAAGATAAAACACACTCCTCCACAAAGTTCTGTGACTTTAACCAATATTTCGGCAGCTGCACGAATAACTTCAACAATTACTCAACTGAACAAAATACATTGAAATGAGGTAGAATAATGGACTTTAGAGTAAAATAGAAACCATTCATTTGGACAAACAATTATCTAACTTTAAATCACATAAACAGACAATGTAATGTTGCAGAATCATGGAATACATGAACGTTCAAATATATATGTGTGTGTATGTGCGCGCGCGCGTATATATATAAAACTATAGCATAAAGATACCTGTAGGACGGACAAGTGATTGAAGACAACCCCAGGTTTCTTGGCCTCCTTGCTGATTGTATGTTCCAAAATATCCAACACCATTGATACAACAGGGATAAAAATCCCACTGGAACTGGAAAGGTGATTCAACCACTTAATGCATTTAATTCTTAAAGGTAAATATCTAGGGCCAGGAAACAACACAGCCACTCCATTTACAATCTGAATAACGTTATAAAGTGGTGCTTGGAGATCATAATCATGGAAGTTTACAGCAATGAACTTAACCCAGAGGTCAATGCAATTGATATATTGCCAACTGCATATCATCTTGATCGCTTCCTGCAAAGAAAAGTACAGGCATGGAGAAAGTTATTTAAACATAGATAGGCTTCTCAGCATGAACAACAAATACTACATTTAAATCTCACGACTCAAGGAAGTAAGATAAGGCATCCTGACAGCTTACTTTCTTCTTTGTTCGTAAACCCTGACGGAGTATCTTGGTGAGTTGCTGGATTGAAACCCTAGCCTTAGTAGTAGATCTATGGACATCAAGAGAGCATAACTCAACAAAGGAGTCTCTCAAAAATTGCATATGTTTATGCAAATTTGGCTCCGCAAATTGGCAGTCAGCAACGCAGGCCTTGTACATCTTAATCCAACAGGAGTCGAAGCAATTTGACCCAAGCATAGAACTCAAGTCTCGTATTATGAGAAATGAGAGGGATGATATTGTTCCTTCACCAGTTGCCCACAAATGTACTGCAATCTGCATAAATGAAACCCACTCTGTAGATCACACAATGATGGACTTTTTGCATAAGCGGTATAAGACACGAACAGTAAGTATATAGGTATATTAGGCTACTGGTAGTAATTAATGACTAACATGCAGGATCAAAATATGATCATCTTCAGACATGGTCAGAAAATATGATATAGACTCATAATTACTTAGTATGAGATCAATTCTGAATGAAGTTAAATGATAAGGGCAAGAAAAATAGATATGTCAATAGTTGCTTCTAATTCATCAACAACAAAAAGATTGGCAAGGTAAGAATATTCATGTAAATCATATACATACCTTGGTGAGCCTGCGCTGTAGAGATGGGAAAGCTGCAAAATATATTATGGAAGCTCTTATTCGAGCCAAGGAGAAGCTCAATATCTCAGTTTCTGAAGCCTCGTTCAAGAGAAACAAGCTACTTCTTAAATATGACTTAATTAAAGGCTTAAGCGTTTTCCATTTTGTGGTGTTTCTCAACTCTAGAATCATCTCCTTCTTACAGCTGGAGCTCAAAAGTCCTAAACGCTCCCTAAATAAATTGTCAGCCTCACGCAACATGAAAAGTAGTATCTTGGAGAAAGTTTCACCCTTTCCAATTCTACAGGACCAGATGGCATCAACATTGCTTGTAGATTCAGATCCATAGTGACATGCAGCTCGATACCCATTAATTAGACTGGTAAGAATAGACAAATCATGCGTATGCTTAACTTGATGACACCAGGAATCAACGAGAGAGCTACTCAGAAACAAGCCTTTATTAGAACTAATGCCCTGTCCCTCTCGCTTTAATACATCATTATCAATTGTTTGCTCATCAGAACTCTATTCAAGAAGAAGAGGAACCAATTAGATGGAAAGACAAGAAAAAGGCATATGAAAACACAATTAGTTAACAGTGCTAGTTTCCACAATAACATAATTAAAAATTGTAATTAATGCTAATTAATACACATTATTAGCTATTTTCCCTTTAACTGATTAAACTTTATTTGTCTTTCTTCCTATTAAATGTTGGAATGCCCACTCCATTTTCTTAAAACAGGCTCTAATCTACTTCATTCTATTTTTTCTTCTTTATTTATAGGAATATTTCCTTATGGAATAACCCCATGGAAAGACCATGAATCATATCATGATACGTTATAGGAAACATTTAGAATAGTATATTAATAGACAAGGAACAAAGGGTAAGGGAAAGTATCCATAAACAAAATCTATATCAGCAGCAAGAAACATAGCACTCTACAGAATATTACTTACAGTGTCTTCATCACTGAAACGTTCAACAGCCTTGTCATTGGTTTCCAGAAACTTCAAGAATTCTGGATCCTGAAAATCTTCCAAGTAAAGTGCTACATTAAATTATCCAGTCATTGAGTAAAAATTGGGGAATCATTAGAAGATGATATATACAAAGACACCACCCTAGCTTGAAATGATTAAAAAGTGTAAGGGAAAGTAGCGAACAGTTTCATAAAATATTAACCCTCTATAGATCACACACATCAATCAAAACTCTTGTTCCAAACCATGAGATATGACTGATTCGTTCACGAAAAGCATTAACCTTTATAGTTATTGGTGCCAAGCACCCAGTACTGGAAATAAGCCACCGATTAAAGATTTAAAGTCCAGCAATGATGCAAAGCACTAACACATTGATATAGTTTTTGGGAACATGTTTGTGTTTGAATGAAAACATGTGCTTGCTTTAAATAGCTTTCTGAATCACCATGCAAAGCATGACATCCAAGTAATTGGTAATGATAATTCAGAGAGAAAAATCAAATGATTTATAATCTCTTAGATAAGAAAATTTAAACCAATAGTTCGTAACTTCTTCAAGGAGTGTGTATACAGAACTTGCTATTATTTAACAACCCTAGCAAGGTTTAGGGCAACCTAATAATTATCGAAAATGCGAAAACACGATGCAATGGTTTGGATAAGTAAAAAGAAATCTTTTCGAACATGCTACATTTCATGAAAAACTAGGAGTCAATTGGCAAGCATTTTGAGGTCAGCGTGAAAGTGATACAGTTGCCTTAATTTTTCTTATCTAGTGGAGATGGAGGTTAAATAAAGCAAAATGTTACCTTTTCTTTCAACCTGTTCAATTTCTCTATTTTCTTTGCGAGTTCTGAGTGAATTTCTTTGTTCTGAGCTGATAAATCATTGGGATTGATCGTGCCTGCAAAAGAATACCACAAACAGAAGATGGGATCAAAGGACGTATCAGGACGAAGTTCCTGAATGTTTCCTAGATATAGCATGGGCGACTCACCAGTCCCACCTTCAGCGTTATTCTCAATTTCATTTCCAGCAGTGTTAAAAGAGCTCAAATCCTAATTTCCAAACAACATAAAAAATGTGATAAACCCACCCAAATTAATCATAATTCACATCTGAAAAAATTGTTAAAAATCTCTAGGCAAAAACATAGTAAAAACCTCCGAAATATATCCATCACTGTCTGAATCGTCTTCAAGCATATCATATTCATCTTCACTGAAAATTGCATCAAGGGAAACATAGTTGTTTCCATCAGCTTCACCATTCCTGCAAAAGGAACCCATAAAGTTTAAATAAATAACATGGATGATATAGCATGTTAATGAATTGGGGATGAAAAAGAAAGTCCCAGACATGAGAGACCATATCCGTTGTATGTGCGCGTGCGAGAGAGGGAGAATAAAAAGAACAACATACATTCATGCGTATATTTCTATGACCTTGGAAATCACAGCCAAAAATATTGTTCAGAAAGATAATGATCAGAATGAAGTTGGCATTAGCATGCCATCAAGTGAAGCGAGAGATTAAGACAAAAACGACGCTAGGAAAAAATGAACAAAATATGCCCGAATTCAAGCATTACATTCGATTAGGGAACTTCGACAAATCGTCCTTTTGATTTCCGACGCTGTCTTCCTCCTGTCCTACGACATTTGAAGAAGAACCAAATAAGAATACAGACTCCAAACAGTACATAACATATCATAAAAATAGCTGAAAACAAATTTCTTAAGCAGCTCAAGTCGATAACCAAAAAGAGTAAACAGAGAGAGATTGAACTGGAAAAACATATTGAAGAACAAAATAACTTTCAGAAATTACAGATTAGAACATGAGCATGCTTGTGTGTCGTGGAAGAAATCTTACTTGATGGAGCTTTCTTCTTGAACACAGACTTCAGCTTCCGCTTCCTTTTGAGCACAGACTGAAGATTCTTCTTCGCGAACTTCCTCGCTTTCTTCCCCAACTTCCCCATTTCGTTATCGAAGTATCAAAAGAAGATCAGCACCAAAATTCAGTTCCTCTTGCTGGAGCTCCTGATAAGCGCGTTGGTGGCTGGGAGGGAAATTTTCAGAGTAAGGGGAAGCAAAATTCGTCAGTCCGGCGGGAGGGAAGGGTTCTTGAGTCTTGGGCTGAGGTGAAAAGTAAATCGGGCTTCCTGAAAACCGATTAGAATCGGCCCAACACTTTCGAGCCCAATATGAATGGGGCCTATCATAATGAACACGGCCCACAAAGTTCATTAGGTTGTTTGAACAGTTCCATGAAACGAAAAAAATTCTCAAGACGTGAATTATCGTAATTGCCCCCACTTTATAGGCAGTTTTTCACTTTTACCTTCTTTTATTATTGGTCAATTTACAGTAAGTCCTTTTAATTATTTATTTCTTATATATCTTTAATTAGTTATACCGCTGTCTTAAAGTAAAAACTAACCACATGGAAGGAGAGTTTTTGTGTACAAAGTAAAATTGACGATTGGCAGCAAATGAAACATCATTTTAATCCTATATGGATAAACAAGATAAATTTCTTAAGCATTTAATATTTTTATATGTAAGCTCTTTATTTTGGTAAATTGGAAAAGAAAAATTATAATAACTTCAGTCATTATCAATACTATCTGGATTTTTTAAAATTCAAATTTGATTTTTGAATAGGGTTACTTTTTTATAAAAAAAAAAAGTAAAACAAATGTGGTGGTCGGTGATTAAATCTTCGAGCTCAAGTAAGATAGTTGATGTATTATCCATTAAGTCATGCTAAAATTGACAAAATTACTCTTTCCTAATTTCTTGGACTATGTTCAAATTGATTTATATTTTAACTTAAAAAGAATATATAATTGTAATAATACTGTTTCAAAATAGGAGAAAATAAGTTCAAACAATGATTTCTACTATAAGCAACCTTACAAGTTCAAGTGGCTATTAGAAAGTAAAAACCTTTAATAGACCAAACGTGAAAAATAAAAAATCCGACTTTATCAAAGTTAAACCGTACTCATGCCTACTGTTCAGACTTTTTAATTTGGTTATTGCCGTCTTAATTTGGAATCAGGATGGATAGAATCAAACACGAAGAATATTATCAAACACCTTATCGGCATTACAAAAACAATCATTCACCACTCCACGCACTTATCAAACACCCATCCTCCAAAATTCGACATTTCAGAGAGCAACGCACGAAAGCAGAAATAACCGATAAAGGATTCGACATTGGAAATGCAAAAAAATATCGAAAAAAGAGCCAAAACTAAAGCGGAAGGAATCAATTCGCAGACCTCGCAGGTAGAGCGTCGCCGGTCGCCGCACTTTCCCGGGCTTGCTGCGGCCGCTCGTTCAATACCACCCCTCACTAGCGTCGCCGGTCGTGACTCGTCGCCGTCGCCGCGATTTTCGCAAAAGAGAAGGGGGATGGTTGCAGGCTTCGTGCCGTGAGTGACTGAGTGATGAAGGGGAGGGGGCGGCGCACAACAATAGTTTTGTAGCTTAAAACAAAAATCGAAAGAATCGAACCGAAAAAATTCGGTGCGGTTCGATTCACACTTAATTTCGACCGATTTGCTCTGAACCGGGTCGATTCGGTCTGTTACACCTCAAATATTTTCTGTTGGAAACAGCATCTCGTTGTTGTGCCTATTGGGCCTAGGGAGAGCACTCCACCCCTATTTGGCAAACCATTCCCTATGCTTATGACTTAATATTCTACCAACGAGAATGACAATTAAATATAGTAGGATTAGATAGTTGTAAATTGTCCCGAACACTAATCCATAAAAAAATAAAAAAGTAAAAAGGGTTGCTTTTATTTTATATATTAGAGTTGTAACTTTGAATGAAATAAAAGGTTTTAAATGTCGATATCGATAGAAATATCGATGTCTAAATTTCATGAAAATATCATAGATGTTTTTGTAAAAAATAGAGAAATTAAAAAATCATAAAAAATATTTAAATTAACCCATAAACATTTAAACATTTTTCTATTTATAAATAAGTTAAAATGATTAATATTAATATTATATATATATTAATGATATTTTTCCTATTTTGTTGATTTTTTTGTACTATAACAGAAATATCAATTCATATCTCATGTCGATGTCGAATTCATGAATATATGGATGTGCCGACAGAAATATCACGTGTCAACAGATATTTAATACCATGTATGAAAACAAACTTGTAAAATAAGGGAATGTCTTAAAGATATTAAATTAATTGAAGATGGGGTCGGTTGTCTTTCGTGCCAAACTGTTGCAATGAATGCGTCTTATCTTGTTTGATAAGTCTACATGTCACGCTGTGGGAGGGGGATGGAGAAATTTGAGTGTGACAACTAGATACAATTGAATGTCCTTGGTTTAATTTTCAACTTTAAAATGTGAATATAAAGTGTAAAAATATGGATTTCATAATTAAGCTTTCGAACACAAACACACGTATTTACTTACGTGTGCTTATTTTGTTGATATTTCATAATTACGTGTGCTTCAAGTTGAATCAAGTATTTACTTGAGGATTCTTCTGATATTTAAATACTCTTATCTCGTTTGCTTGTAAAGATAACCTAAGCGTGCATTTGTTAATTATTACAAGTTACACAAATTTAAAAATCATGTTGAAATATTTGTTTTCTGAATTTATCTATGGTTATTCTAATCACGTGAAGTAACCCTTCAAATTATCTTCACAAACTCTAAACTATAAATGTTTTGATAGTTTTTTTTTGTAAACATGTAGGTATAGAAATGTAAATCTTCGAATTTTGATCGACGATATATATTTTCAATTGAATTATACTCAAACCGACATAAATATTTGATAGTATTGAACTTGTTAATAAACACTATTTCATGTGCGGACTCTTTCTTTTAAACGTAACTTCACAAATGTAGACAAAAATTTCAAGACTGTCACTAATATAATAACTAGTCAGGTAAGGTTCAATATTTTTACATATTCTATTTTTACCCTTTTGTGTGTTATTTATTGAAAAAAAAATGCAATTTTGGGTTAGATGGAACTAGAGGAAAAGGAAAATACAAATTTTTTATTTTTTATTTTAAGTTTGGTAGAACTAGTGGAAGTCAAGCGACTGTGAATGACAAGTTGCAATTTGTTTATAATTTATTTATTTTTATTTTTATTATGTTTTAGTACATTTATTATTATTATTATTTTTAAGTACGCTAGGGGGTGAGGTATTATAAATAATTGAATATTGATGTGAAATAATATCCAAAAATATATATAAAATACATTCGATGGATGTGAAATAAAGACTACACTTCTAGAGGAGAGTTGTAACGGAAACGCCGCCGTGTAATCAATGCGATCACTTTCGAGCTGTGATATAACCTGCAGCCATTTATCTAAAAAAACAGTACGATTTTTGGAATGCAACAATACAATAAATTGTCTCTGAATTTTTTTTTAAAAAAAACCATAGACTAAATATGAAAACATAGCAATGTTATTAAAAAAAAGATTAAAAGAAATATAGAAGTCAATAAAACAACATAATAACATAAAATATATAAATATATATTTTCTTTCATCAAAATTATTTAAATAAATTAATGTACTCACTACTGATAAACAATATTATGCAATTAAGTATATTTATATACTACATTTGCATATGAAATAAACTTCAATGATATATAACCATTAAAGATATAGACGTATGAAATTCCAAACTTACACCTTCTAAAAAACAAGCAGAAGCTAAGTTGAAAATCGAGAAATAGTCAATTAAAAAAAAATCCAGTCTAAATGTTTGTTTTGGCACTAAAAAATAAAATATATTTTTTTATTGGCTAGAGACCATACTATATAAAGAAGTATAAAAGATAGGAATAGCAATTAAGCATCTTAATTATTTATCAAGTAACAAGTTAGATAAGGACCATGGCTTAAAAAAAAGATTAGATAAGGACAATAAGTAGAGTAGTAGATAACAACCATAGTATCATCATTTTTAACTGAATATAGCTTAACAGTAATTAGATAGATTTAAGTTCGGAAGTTCTCAATTTGTTTTACTAAAAAAACAAAATTATTGTTTTACTTTTCTCTTTCTCTCAATAAAGATATCAAATAATGACCTCTGTATCCCCTCCCATTTTACCCTTTTTCTGTGCGCGACGGCCAATAATTTAATATCAAAGTAACAAAACTTTTTGGTAGTTTCGGAAACCGATAACGAAAGGCAACGTGGCGACTCATGATTGGTCAGATCATGAATCAAAACTACTCTACTTGGTGTACACGTTAAGACCACATCATGATCTCCCCTCTTGATTTTTAACAAACTTCCATCTCCTTTCAACCTTTCACTTCCCCCGTTTTTTTCCCCAAGTTTCACCGGACTACGACGGCGACCACGGCGGCGACAGCGACTTGGTTTTGTCTTTTTGTTTGCTTGCCATTGCCTTGCCGCTGATGCTGTTAGAATAATAATAAGAATCACAGAGCCCACTGGGTCTACTTTTCTTTTCCCAACGCCCTCCACTCTCCCCTCTGTCCTTTCTTCTTTTACCCATTTGTTCCCCAATTCTTTTCTTATTTTTTGTTTTTGCCCCTCTCTCTCTCACTCCCTCCCAAGATCTGGCCCCTCCCTCTCTCATGGAGGCTGCTGCGTGAGCTGCCTATCAATTTCTCTAGGATCTAAGAGAGACAAAGCTGCTGAGGTTGGTATTAGAATGGTGGATTGCTCATACCTGTCCATTTTCGTACTTCTTCTTCTTCTCCGTCTCTTTCTGGGTTTTGCCTCTAAATTTCCTGTTTCCTATGGAATCGTTTCATGGGTTGTTCTTGCAGTTTCGCCACTTTCTTGGCAGTTTTCTGTAGACAATGTTGGTATTAGATGGTGGTCAATTGGATGTTTTGGGAGCTCTTTGTTTTAGATCTGTCTTCTAAGACCTTGGATTTTGAGCTGTTTGATGCATTGTTTGAGTTCTGATCTGTTTCTTATTGTTTTCACATTCAGATGATTGGTTAGGAAATGGGGAAGAGGGGTGGCTGGTTTTCTGCTGTGAAGAAAGCATTTGCTCCTGAATCTAAGGAAAAGAAAGATCAGGTTGGGTTGGGTTCTAATTTCTATAAATTTTGTTTTTTTTCTCTCTGTTTTGTTTTTCTAGATCCTGAACTGAGAGTTTTTTATAAATTGATTTTCGTTACAAGAAATCCAACAAAACAAAGAAAAGATGGTTCGGAAAGCCAAAGAAATTGGAGATAGTGGCATCTGCGGAGCCAGCTCCACTGGATGTGTCTGTTCTACCTATTGAAGAGGTGAAACTAACAGAAGCAGAGAATGAACAGAGCAAGCATGCTTACTCTGTCGCTATTGCCACTGCCGTTGCTGCTGAGGCTGCTGTCGCAGCAGCTCAGGCTGCAGCCGAGGTTGTTCGGCTCACCACCATCCCTCGTTACTCCGGAAAATCAAAGGAGGAAATTGCAGCCATCAAGATCCAGACTGCATTCCGTGGCTATATGGTTAGTGATTTCTTTCACTATTGCAAGAATTGATGACATTTCTTTTATAAGATTGATGACACCATTTTGAAAGCTAGAGCTGTTAAAAAACTATTCACTACTTTTAAGACGGTTTCACCACTCTTGGATCAAATTCTTTTTGAAGTGACCATTAACAAGAGAATTTCTTTCCGTTTGAAGTACAATTTAAACTCCTACGGTCTAGTTCTTACGGTGTTAAAAGTCTAATGATTGTCCTGTGATTTGGTCACATCTCCCAAGATATCTCTTTGGAAGTGTCAAAAAGATTTAATGAGCTTTCAGTATAACTGTATAAGGTACGTGTAAAAGGTGTACTGAGTTGATTATAAGAGTTTTAATTGGGTACGTAATCCAAACAAAAAAAAAAAGAGCTTTAATTGGGTAAAAAATAAAGGAAATCAAGTGTGGTTTTGGGTAGGATAAGAAAATGGGTTCTGCAAAAAAAGAGTGGATTTTTTAGATTAGAGTTAAAAATGTGAAACAAGACCCACTTTTTTTCACATCCCACTTCATTTCTACTTGAAAATCTACCAATTTTCTCTATTTTCTACCCTGTATACGATCTAATACAGTTGGGTAGCTCGTCATCTTCTCTGTTACATCCAGAGACAACGTATCGTTCTAGGAGATTAATCAAATTTAGGATCTATATTAAAAGTTCTAAAATCATGAAGGACCAACTTGAAACCAAGTTTAAGCTACTAAAACAAACAATCTGTTCATAACTATTCAACAAAATTACAAGTCAAATTACCTGCTTGCCACTGACTTGAATACTTTTCCTAAGAAAGAGCGTGCCTTTTCGCATCAACTACGTGCCAAACATACACACCTAACTTCAATGCAGCTTTGAATGTGCCATTTAATAACCTACAGAGTGTTCAAAAACAGTAATTAAAAGTGATGACTTTTCTTCTGTGTAGTGACCAGTTAGGGATTTAGGAAATTAAATAGGGTACTAAGGATTCATTTTGAAATGGGTATTTTTTGGCTCAGGCAAGGAGGGCCCTGAGGGCATTAAGAGGGTTGGTGAGGCTGAAGTCATTAATTCAAGGCCAATCTGTTAAAAGACAAGCAACTACCACATTAAGATGCATGCAGACTCTAGCTCGTGTGCAGTCACAGATTCGTGCAAGAAGAATTAGAATGTCAGAAGAGAACCAGGCTCTTCAGAGGCAGCTCCAACACAAACATGAAAGAGAGCTTGAGAGATTAACTGCTTCTGTAAGTGTTCATTCTCTTCTGCAAATTCTGTGCGTCAGATTGTCCTCAATGAGCCTTTCTTTTTTAGTGATCCTGAGTGTTTGAGTTAGTTTTTGTACAACTTTGACCTTACCCGAGTAATAAAGGCATAGCTGACCTTGCGATATTTTATATTAGGAAACTTTAGGATATTAAATATTCTGAGTGGGTAGCAATGTAGTTGTTCCTCTTTCTAGTGCTACTTTGTAATGGGATTTTTTTTAATCCTTGAAGTGTTATAGTTGACTATTGAACATTTCAATCAATTTTATGATACAATGGCTTGACTCTTAACATATTTAGAATGAGTTATGAGAATACTGCAGTCTCTTTTATGAGTGTTTTTAAAATGTTTATTGTGAGGAAGTTTCTTAAGGTGTAAAAGTTACAGGAATGTGGCTTGCATAGATTGGAAAGAAAAAATGTGAAAGCCAATTAGATATATGTTATTTGCATGTGTTTCTAATCCTAGTTCGAAAAATGAATGAGGAATTAAGTTTTGATGTTTCAATTAGGCAAACAATGAATGGGATGATAGTACCAAATCAAAGGAGCAAGTTGAAGCCAGATTAGTGAACAGGCAAGAAGCAGCAACAAGAAGAGAAAGGGCGTTGGCGTATGCTTACACTCATCAGGTTCGGTTGAATTCATTTCCATTTCCCGCTGATTTGATTATTATCTCCCTACCCAGATCACTGATTCTCATTTTCATGGCCGTTTTTCCAACAGAATTCATGGAAGAATTCTTCGAAGTCTGCAAACCCTACGTTCATGGACCCGAACAATCCCCACTGGGGCTGGAGTTGGTTGGAGCGATGGATGGCCGCTCGTCCATGGGAGGCCAGAAGCACCGTCGATTACCACGATCGTGCCTCCGTCAAGAGCGCGATCAGCCATGCAACCTCAATAGGAGACATCGCTAAAGCTTACGCCCGTCGCGATCTCAACCTCGACATCAAGCCTTTTCCGAGGACGCCTACGAGCCAGAAAACCAGCCGACCGCCGAGTCGCCAATCGCCGGCGACTCCAAGGAAGGCGCAATCGTCGCTATCTGCAGGGAGGAAACTGAAGCCGGCGAGTCCGAGAGGAATCGGCTGGGGCGGAGACGAAGACTCCAGAAGCGGATTGAGTGTCAAATCGGAGCGTTACCGGCGACACAGCATCGCGGGATCATCGGCGAGGGACGACGAAAGCTTCACGAGTTCGCCGTCGGTTCCAAGCTACATGGCATCGACAGAAGCAGCTAGGGCCAGGTCCCGGTTGTCGAGTCCGATGGGAACGGAGAAGACAGCGGTGACGCCGGAGAAGGGATCGGCGGGTGGAGCAAAGAAGCGACTCTCCTACCCGGCCTCACCGGCGACGGCGACGGCGCGGAGGCACTCCGGTCCGCCGAAAATAGACGCTAGCCCGATTAAGAAAGTTGAAGGGAAAGATTATACCGGAGAGAGCAGATAGTTAAGATGGATTTGGTAGTGATTTTGATCGTCGTTTTAAGTTTTTTATTAGCTTCGAGTTTTGTTGAAGGCAGGAAAATGGCGAATAAAAGTGGATGGTAAAATCTTACTGTTCTTGTAAATGGAATTGGACTTTGTTTGGCTGCCAACTTCTTTTTCTTTTCTTTTCTTTTTTTGTTTTTAAGATCTGTGAAGTATATATAATTCGTCAGGTTCTTTTATTCTGAAGTGTTTTTTTTTTTCCTTTTTTCTTGTTTGAAAAATATTTTTGGAGAATAGAAGGTTGAAACCTAAATTATGGATGTCATTACTTAGGACTCTTGCAGCTCATTAGTATAGAATAGTTAGTATAAATTTGTGATCAGTGCAAGGTTCGAACTTGGAACCTCAAGTAAATTAAATGGTAGGTCAAGGTATTTGCCACTACTCCATTCCCAAGGGACATGTGTTCATCTTTGTGTGTTGTTTTTTATTTCCTCTTTCTTTTCTTTGGCAACCTTTGTCGGTGGCGTCATTTTGATTGATGCCATTGTCGTTTTGGAATTTCTTCTCTGTTGTTATTTAGTACAGAATTTAGACATGTGAAATATTGAACCTCCAACCTCGATAATAAGAATATATGTCTATTACTTATGTTAACTTGAAATCTCTTATCTTCTTCCCCCTTTTCTTACCAACATCGCTCTTGACGTGGAATAAGAGAAGAGCTCCCCTCCCTCTCATTCTAGGTCCAGAAGAAGGAAGAAATTGAGGCAAATATATTGTCCCTTTAATTTTATAGTATCACAATAATAATAATAATAATAATTATTATTATTATTCTTTTTTTTTTAAGTTCTAATTTTTGTTTAATTATAAAATAAACTGAAATAATCTATAATTAAAATTTCGAAATTTGAAAAGGATTTTTTAGTTAGACCTTAAATCCAAAGTTTTGGAAAAAGTACTTTTTAAATTAAATTAACAAAATTAATTAGAATTTACATTTTGAAAAGAAAAATTGTTTTCTCTAACCCATCCATGACATCATCCCTCTTCCTCCTCAGACACCCCAGCTTCCTTCCTTTCACTCTATTTCCCTCTCAGCCGCCACTCTCCCCCTTCTCCGGCGGCTCACCTACGCACTGAACCACCGAGCACGCAAACTCAGCATCTCCGGCGACGCGTGCGGCGTGGCGACGACCCGCAGCGACTCACGGCGGCGCCGAGATCCGCGTCGGTCCGAGAACGCGTGACGACCAGACCTCCGGCGAATCAAGTTCGCAGCACCGGCAGCTTGCCGCAGCGGTCTATCCCTTCTGAAGACTTTTGGCAGTGACCCGCATTCCAACGGAGCCATATCTGTGATACCCACTCCCTTCAACGCTAATACAGCCTAAACCCAAGCTGTTTCAGTAGGTAACAGCTCGTTTAGACCCCTCTCGTTTCAATTTAAGTGTTTCGAATTGGATTCTAATTCCAAAATGTTCTCTCTGTTGTTTAGGTACCTGTTAGGAGTAGTAAGTAGTTCTGACTTGAGGATGCTTGTATGATTTTGTATGAATGGTATGAATGGTATGAATTGTTTGTTGTTGTTGTTGTTGTTTTTTTTATAATTTTTTTCATATGTTTTAATTATCCCTCTTGATATATATATATATATATATATATATATATATATTGGATATTGTTTCTTATTAATTCTTCATGGATCAGGTTAATGGTTTAGAGGATTCTGATGTGCTATGTAGCGTTGATGGATGTGTTATTGCTGGTTATGGCTGATTATGATTGCTTAAATATGTTGAATGATGTTTGATGATTATAGGGCAAAGCATGATGTATGGGTATTATGCTTGTATGGCAAAAGCATGCCAATAATGTTGAGAAATTTGGTAGATTGGAAATGTATGCTTGATGTTTGATTGAGTAAACATATTGGTTGGCTATGTTTATTGTACAACATGCTGGTGTTGTTGTGATTTAGTATGTTGGCATGAACCCGTTTAAAGCATATATGTTTTGTGTATGTAGTAGGCTAGATCGATGCGATGAGTCTAACCGGAAGGCAATTATTGGTGCTGTGGGTGAAAATGGTCAAGGCTAATATGTTGTGAAGTCATCAAGGCCTTGGATAAAAATGGTCAATTATCAATATGACTCGAAAAGTAAGTCTTGAAGGAATAGGAGAGAGTTTGAAAGAGTTGGAATCTAGTAGAATTGGTGATGTGAGGTTGGACGTGACATATAGGATGCATATGTTTAGAGTTTATTTTAAAGTATTTTGCATGTTGTTGTTGACAAACATGTTATTGTGAATATTGTGTTGTAGCATGTTGTTTGCACGCGACCCTCAAATGGGGTTACTTACTAAGTATTCACAAATATTTAATATTTGGGATATTTAGCCTCAGGTCAATATGTTAGGTTACAGCTCTTCATAAACCTAAGTTTGAACCCCTCTTCTGCAATGTATTGTATGAAAATTTTAATTTTCGGTCATTTATATTCCAAACTTTTAATATTCGTAGCCAGAAAAGAAAACATTTGGTTTATGACATAGTGTAAGTATGAAGTACAAAGTTCAAAACTTCCTTTGTAGAAAGTGTGATTACGAGTAGCTAGATTTCTCTGGGCAACAACAACCTTAACTATAAGGTATATATCAATGTACTGGTTGGTTTGTGATCTTGTTGGATACATAATGTAATCATATATATGAGAATAACTAAGGTACTTGAAATATGTGTCTCTGTGTTCATGTCGTGTAGACTTTCAATGACATCATTGTATTTGATTGGTGATCGCCACTTAATTTAATTTGCCGTTGGTGCAGCTATGGATTGACTTCAAGTTTACAGTAATACCTCCATGTTCATTATATTTAATATTGTTTTGTTCTTACAGGTAATTGGCAACAAATGGGACACTTATGAGTGACTTTAAATGCCAAGCTGCCCTTTTCAATGGACAGTTCGAGAAAGAAATATGAGAATGTCGATGAATGTCCCACTAAAAAGTGCTCTTGTTCATATTGTATGTCGTGGGTTCATGCTTCAAGCCGTCTCTCTACTATCATCTTCAACCCCTAATGGTCTTACTACCACTGTACTTAACTGCAAAAGCCCCCAAAAGGCACTTGAGTTATTCTATGCTGCACCCCAAAAGAATACTCAGCTTTACTCGGCTATGATCCATGTTTTAGTTGGATTCAAGTTATTTTCTCTAGCCAGATGTCTGCTAAGAAACCTCTTAGAAAACCTCCTCCTAAAGTCTCGCCAGCCCCACCATGTATGTCAATTGGCATTCAATGCGCTGAGACGCTTAAAAACCTCAAAATTTACTCCAAATGTGTTTGGAGAGTTAATTATTGTCTTAACTAAGATGGGTCATGTAGACGAAGCTTTGTGGGTGTACCGCAAGGTTGGGGCGTCGCTCGCAATTCAGGCTTGTAATGCTCTTTTAGATGGCTTGGTTAAAACCAGCAGGTTTGAATTGTTGTGGAGGATTTTTGGAGAAATGGTTTCTAATGGACTGTCTCCTAATGTCATAACTTATGGTACTCTGATTGATGGTTGCTGTCGCCAGGGAGATCTTTTAAGGGCACGTGAGATTTTTTATGAAATGAGAGTGAAAGGGATCGAGCCAACCGTTGTTGTCTACACCGTTCTTATTCGTGGTCTCTGCTCAGAAAGCAAAATGGAGGAAGCGGAGAGTATGCTCAGAACGATGATGGAATCTGGGGTGCTTCCAAATGTGTACACTTACAACACTTTGATGGATGGATACTGCAAGTTGGGCAATGTAAAACAGGCTCTTAGATTGTATCATGTTATGCGGGGTGAAGGTCTAGTGCCAGACATTGTTACATTTGGCATATTAGTTGATGGACTCTGCAAATTTGGTGAAGTCAAGACTGCGCGGAATTTTCTTGTGAATATGGTAAAGTTTAGTGTTACTCCAAGCATAACTGTATATAATTGTTTGATCGATGGTTACTGCGAGGCAGGGGATATTTCTGAAGCAATGGCTTTGCTTTTGGAGCTGGAAAGATTTAAAATTTTGCCGGATGTCTTTACTTACAGTATACTTGTTAGAGGTCTCTGTTCTGTGGGTAGAATTGAAGAAGCAGATGACTTACTTCAGCAAATGAATAAAGAGGGAATCCCTGCTAACTCTGTTACATATAATTCACTAATTAATGGATACTGCAAAGATGGCAACATGAAGAAGGCGTTGGAAATTTGCTCCCGAATGATCGAAAATGGTATCAAACCGAACGTGATCACCTTCTCAATGCTGATTGATGGTTATTGCAAGGTATGGAACATAGTAGCTGCTACGGGCATATACTCGGAAATGGTTATCAAAGGCCTTTCTCCTGATGTAGTTGCTTATACAGCTATTATAGATGGGCACTGCAAACATGGTAGCATGAAAGAGGCTCTTAAACTCTACAAAGATATGCTGGATAATGGCCTTACCCCAAATCGTTTCACTATCAGTTGCTTATTAGATGGACTTTGTAAAGATGGCAGAATCTCAGATGCACTCAAACTTTTCACAAAGAAGGCCGGATTTGGGACTGCCAGGTTCGCAGTTGATGAGGTTGGAAGCGGGTTTTATTTAACTAATCACGTGGTGTATACGGCTTTAATTCATGGATTGTGCGAGGATGGACAATTTTTCAAGGCATCTAAGTTGTTTTCAGACATGAGATGTTACAGTTTGCAGCCAGACGAAGTGATTTATGTAGTCATGTTACAAGGGTACTTCCAAGTTAAACACATCCTCTACGCGATGATGCTACATGCCGATATGTTAAAACTTGGCATTATGGCGAATGCAGCCATCTCCTCAATATTGTCCAAGGGATATCAGGAGAGCGGATCCCTAAAATCAGCTCTGAATTTTAGGATATGAAATTGCTCCCGTGCGATCAAGTACTTGTTGTTTTGCTGGTAGGCCACTTAAGTTAGGGTGAGCAAAAAGTAAATAAAAACGGAGACCAGGCCTGGAATTTCAAACAAGAAAACGTACTAGCGGGAGGGAGATTCTCCAGCTCCACTCCTCTCTTTCGGCTTCATTCGTTGATGTGCCATGCTTCGGTTGATTATTTTGCTTTCTCTTCCTGCACTATTGCTTGCTATCTTTGTTTAGTGAGCAGTGCGCTGTCCTTATTTTATAAAAACAACCATACTTTACTTTTTGGAAGACTTTTCCTCCCGTGGAAATCGGGTTGTGAGGTTTCGGTCCGATGCAACTTCTTGACAAAGAGTAATGTATCATGCACCAGCAGCCACGTAGGTCCCGTTGAACTCTTCCTTTTTATCCGCTTGCTCGTTTAGATGAGCAGGAGAAGCCGTTCCTGGATTGATTTTACTCAGATGAGGACGCATACGACACAAGAATTTGGGGCATCATCTCATCACCTGAGCAAGCCCTATGGGAAGTTTCCATTCTCCCTATTGGAGAGATGAAACTAGCAGACGCTCTGCTGCCATAGCCACTGTCATCGCTGCAGCTGAGGTGGTTCCCGGGTCACAACGGTTCCATTCTACTCCAAGAAATCAAAGGAGGAAGTAGCAGCCATCATAATTTCAGACTGCATTCCATGGTGTTATGTGGTAGGTGATCTCTTTCACTGTATTGCAAGAATTTCTGAGATAGTTTTAAAGCTGGGAGTTCAAATCTGTTCACTACACAAGTTTTCACACCCACAAACACACTGCTTATTTACCATTGCCTTCACTTTTTTCTTGAGAAAGAGCAAACTGCTTATTTGTTAATCAATTCGCAGCTAACTCCAATTGCATACTTCTATTGTACCCATTTTAATGGCTTAAAGAGGGTTGAAAACAGTAATTTATAGTCATTCTTTATGCTGAGATCACCTCCATGAACATTAAACTAATATTGCACAGTCCTATTACTGCATACAGGGCGGAGAAAATAAAGTTTGCTTGAGTCCTATATTAGGGAAATTATATAAAATACTTAGCATTTAAAATTTTTTCTATTTTGTCCATTTAAATTTTCAAAATTAAAAGGTTATCGGTCTGACGGGCGTAGTCATTTGATCATTAGTTAACTAACGAAAAGAATGATCCAACAAGAGTATTTGTTTTTATAATATTTTTGGTGATTAGACTCTGGGTTGCATTTCTTTTTTTTTTTTTTTCTCTTCTTTTTCCTTTTATTTTTTATTTTTTTCTTCAACAAACTTCACTGGCACTGTTGTGGGTGAAGATTTTGGGGCGCTAGTAGGGACAGTGGTGCCACCGATGCTTGCTGGAGCTGAAGAATAAGAAGGCGACTCATATAGTTCAATCTCCAAAAGAAATAATATAATGTTAATATAATTTTCAAATTCAACCATTTCAATGATCAAGTATGTATCCGTTGGACAACTAATTAATTAAGTAATTTTATGGATAATTTAGTACTATTTTTCAAATCTCATGAAATAAAAGAATTAATGGATCTACTCTCGACGCTAAAAAATGAAAAATAGTTAAGAAAATGAATGTCAGATACAAATTATCTTTGACTTCAACCTTAATTGCAATCGTTAAAATCACTTTCTTTTATATTGATAATGTTTGATAAATTAAAAAAATTGATTTTAAGAAAACTTAAGATTACTTTAAGTAAAGTTTTAAATGTTGATGTCGATAAAAATGTTGAAGTCTCAATTACATGGAAATGTCAATGTCAATGGATATTTTTAAAAAAATTATATAAATAAAAATAAAAATTTGAAAAAATATATTTAAATTAACCAATAATCGTTTCACCATTTTTAAATGTTAAAAATGATTAATATTAATATTACGAAAATGTTTGATTTATCCTCCATGTGGAACTCATGATACACCAACACTTTGACCATTATTTAATACCTTGTTTTCAATGTATCACATGGATTTTCAACTTTCTTTTTCTAAAATCACTCATTTTACTAGGGGTAAGAAGCCAAACCGAACTGCCAAATCAAATGATTCGATTTGGGTCGGTTCGGTTCGATTTCCTAAAACCGGTTTAAAAGTTACTCTACTTTTCATTTATGATATGATATTGCGCCGTCTCCTCTCTTCTCTCTCAGCAAACCCACCGGCCACCACCGTCTTCTCTCTCCCAACAATCCCACCGGCGGCGCGACTCCGACAGTAGCACGGGACGGAACTCCTTTTGGCGGTACGCGAAGTATCACAGCGATTGAAGAAGAAATCTCAATTTCTTCCCTCTCTCGCAGAAATCCCAACGGAATCCCCTCTCTTTGTGGCGAATCCGTAAAACAAGGTAAAATTAGAAATAGATTATTATAAAATCATGCCAAATCCGATTTGCTTTTTTCAGCCAAAACAAGATTTCAAATCCGATTTATATTTCTTTGAATACGAATTTGCCATTTTTCTTGAATCTCTCTGTAAATGAACAAATGGAATTAGAGCTCATTATGAACAGCTCTCAAGGACCTCGTTTCCCTAATTTGCTTGCAGCTGCGCGCCATTTCTGATCCCCGGCCTCTTTTGTTTGTTGATTATAGCTTTCCGCTTCTCTTCATCAAGTTTCTCCTTCGCTCGGGCTTATCCTTCTTCTTTTTTGGGTCTGATTTTTCCATTCTTGAATCTAGGGATTTCCTTGGCAGCTCAATTTCACTCTTTTATCATTTTAGGGGGCTTTCATGCTATTTTGCTTTGCCGTATTAGTAATAGTAAATAATTGGATTTTGAATGTTGGGCTACATCCTGCATTCCTCTTCATATATTTCTCTAGGTTACACCGCACCAATGTTCTTCTATGCAAACTACTAGTAGAATCTGAGTTCTTCTATGAATTCATACCCTAATTGATAAAGAAATCTACCCCATTTCATTTTTACAATAGAGAGAGCTAGAAAGGGGGGATAGGGGTAGATTTCATGTCCAAAGCTGTTGGAAGTTATTCTACTGATTCTCAGCATACATACCCTAATTGATTTAATCTTGCTGGTTGCTGCAAGGATGTTAAAAGGGAAGATTTATGGCAGTGATAAAAGATGTTACGAACTCGTTTATTATTTGATATCTTACATTACTTATAGATTTGAGAGGCGTAGAAAATTATCTTTCTCATGTTGTCCTTTGAACCTTCCACACTCAAAACGAAATGTAAGAAAGAAAGTTAAAATAGCAGGGGGCATAGTTCCTTCAAATTCATCTACTAAGCTTTGGTACCATTAACATTGCAACTTCTATACATATTCTCTTGCATAATGGAATCAAAGAGTTTTTGAGTGACAAAAAGAGGATTAAACTTCTTCAGAGTTGTGGAAATGAGTTCAGAAGCCCTGCAGGTAGCTCGGGTCTACCGGGAGCTTCTCAAAGCTGTGAAGAACCATATTGGAAAGGAAGAGAGCAAGAAGCATTTTGTGGACTATGTGGCCCAAAAGTTCAGGGAGAGAAGCGGGCTTTCCGAACCCCATTCTCTACAACAGAAAATTAAGCTTGCGCACGATTACGCATTGCTACTTAACAGTGTGCACCATCAAAAGGTATGTTTTACACTCACTACTCTCCTTGCAGTCACTTTCTTTTTGTAGATTAATATTTGTTTGGTTCTGTCATTTTATAATTTTCTCTCACAGTGTAGATTAATATTTGTTGTTCAATGAGGATCTGATCTGACAAATGAAGAACTTGTTAGGCCTTCTTTCATTGAATTTTTCCTTTTTTCTAAGATGGTAGAGGGCTATTTGTAAGATGGATGAATATTATTGATTCTGTTTCATTTCATTAGGTGGTGTATCAATTACTAACTAGTTGCTGGATCTGTGCTCCTAACTTTTGTTTCTCTTTGTCGCTTGCGCTCATTATTAATTGTAATTTTCGTTGGCATGCAGGATTTGCTGTTCTCTTACAACATTGCTATTGATAGATCAGAGGAAATGAAGAGAATATTAGGCAAGTCTGCGGCAAGCGTGGGGCTTAGACTTCCTGAAGCTTATCAACCCTGAATCCTGATGCCTTGTGGTGGTTTAAATTTGTGATAGCTCTTTGTGATCTCTTTCAATTGTTTGTTTTTCCCCCTAAGAAAAGGTGAATAAGCACTTTGATTAGCTGCTAGCTTCCCCAAATTAAATGAAAGAAACAAAGGGCAGATCAGAAGGTTTTATATATTATGTGATTTCTCCTCTTATTTGGACTCTCGAAAGTGAATTTGGCAGCAATCTAGTTTGTGATAATGTGAAAGTGTGCTGTTAGATTATTATTGTTAAGTACAACAACAATAAGGGTGAATCCACGACTTTTTTATTAGAAATAATATGCTTTAATTAGTTGAGTTATGTTCAGATTAAAGTAGAATGTTGTTGAATTCTCCCTCCAAAATTCACAACTCATGTACTATGTTCGGATATTATTGTTTACTGCTTTCTATGCGTAATTCGACTCGAGCATGGATACCTCATATCCCCATTGAACTTCATATTCATGTCCTCAATCGTAACATGTAGATTACCTATATATAATTTGGTTTTTGTTATCCTCAAAATTATAATTTGTAATTTAATTAATTTAGCCACTACTTTTACGCTACATCAAATTTTCATCTGGTATATTTTCTATATAAATCTAGTAAACAAACAGCTTCCACGGATAATGAAAATGAAAGAAAAATTATTTTAGAGATTCAAATAAAAAACTCTTATGATTTGTCAATGTTTCTGTCTGTTTAAATCAATCGAGTTTACCTGTTTAGCTAAGCGCTCGATTTTATGATCCACGAAACTGTTCTCATTTTCTTTGTTGCCATCATGAGATGTTTGGTGCAAGTCTAATTCAGAGTACTGCGACATGATTTTCTCTGCTTTCAAAGATTGGTTATTGCAACATTGGAGGATCCTGTTATATGACTTTGGTGTTGGACTTCTGTTACCTTTCATGGCCGAGGTAGTCACCGGTGCTCCTCCATTTTTACGAGGATCAAGCTTTCGAGACCCGGTACCGAGTTTTGTTTCCGGAGATTGAAGCTTAGTACCTCGAGTACGATGTGCAGGTGCAGCAGCACCCTTGGCGTCCGCGATAGCACTTGTTTCTGCCAACCCTCCTTTCATGGTGGCTAACTCCATCATTTTTTCCTGTTCATAGAAATAGATTCAATGTCAACCAAACAAATGTATTTGCAGCAAATAGGTTCAAATAAAGGTAAAAATGAAGGAGATATATAGAATGGAGCCCCAACCGTGTCAAAGAAACCGAGCTTCGGTGATGGCATTCGTAGGCCTGAAGGTTTCACTTCTCTTGATTCTTCACATGCTTGATTCTCCAAACGAGAACTTTGAAGACTGGAATATGGACTAGGCTTGGATCTATTAGATCTTTGAGCTGCAGAAGTTGAAGATGATTCTGAAGGCCATTCGTCAACTGAGCTCGAAGGCGATCCATACCATGAGGACGATGCTGGTGTGGACTGGCAAGAACTGTCCACTTCCACTTTCCTTGCCCTTGTCTTCATCGATGGAGTCGTTGAAACCGGACTGGCTGCGAGTGCACTCGAACTGATGGAGTTTACTTTCCTTCTCAAACTTGGAGGAGATTTTCCAATGGTAATCTCAGATGGAGGACGGGGGTAGCCATTGGATGTTATACAAGATACTGACTTATTTGTTGAAGCGGAACAGTGTGACAAAGATGATCTAAGTGACTGAGTGGAACCATGGATGGAAGAGAACGAGTCCCTTAAACATGGTTTCTTTGACTTCCCCAAACATTCTGCGGTAACAAAAAAACATCACAAGTACATCATGAATTCCATCTCAGTGAAGATAGCAAAGCTTTTTATGAGCTACATTGTTCGAGCTGATGCATACCGGATGCCGCGATCCCGGACCTGCTTCCCAGTTTTACATGATTTTTACCCAAAACTTTTACTCTTGAACCGCAGTTGGTCTGCTCTGAGGCCTTGGATGGTTTGAGGGAAAAAGATGAATGATGCTCCCTACTTTCAGCCGTATGTTTCAGCTGTAGAGATGGCACTCGTCGGTTTAATCATACACAGAAGAAATGGGCAGAGCTAAAATCCAAAAGATTTTCTAATTTTGTTTTTGATGAGTGTGTTATGATGATGATCTACCAATCAGTTAAATCGAACCTATCAAGTATGACATACCTGTATTTTTGGGGCGTTTGGCATATCTCTAGTAATCTTCTTTGATCCATGCTTGTTAATACTTTGCCTCCTGCAAGTTGGCATGGCCTTCATCTGAAATACAAGTGCAAAATATTATTTGGGAGAATTAAGATGGACTGATAATTACGATGGAGGCAAGAAATTACCATAGTTCGAGAACCATCCTGTTCGGCTGAAGCTGTAATGAAGGAAAAACAAAACCAGATTTATAATTTAAACAACTTTATCTCACATTTTTATTAATAACTAAGAAATGCTACGCTCATGGAAGTAACGAGGACAACTTCAAGAAAAACAAAAATTTACTTAGTAACTGCATGATGGATTCCAAACCTGGTCTTCCCAGTTCAAATCTTGAAGTAATTGGTTTGGGGATAGATTGTCTGATGTCTTCAAAAAGATCCATCTCAAGTCTAGTTAACGAGGAACCTTCGTTTTCTAAGGTACTGTTCGACTCCATAGACCTCCAAACTTCATCCTCCATTACGGGAAGTAGATGGCTTTCAGATTTCTTCAAACCGTTGTTAACAATGGCCAATTCCAAAGGGTTCAAAACTCCTGGAGAGTATTTGACCGAAAACATTAGCCATCATTTATATTAAAGACAGAAAAGATTAACTCGTTATACCTTCACTAGTGAAGAAGCCATTATCCCAAGCTAAGCTCTTACGGAAATTGAAGTTTTCAGATTTGATATTAGTGTCTGGTTCGAATGATTGTGAAGACAATAAGAGATACTCTTCGCTCCCCAGAATGTTTACCACATGATCGAAATTCCTTGAATTCAAGGCCGTTAACAGTTCCTCCGGTTCCAGTACTCCTGTCGATATATGAAGTCAAAATGAACTATAGGTTTGCACAGAGAATGTAAACTGAAAGTAAATTTAACAAGTGCCTATGAGTCTATAAAGCCATACCGGGGCTTGTAAAAAAGGCGCTATCCCAGGCAAGACTCAGGCGCAAGTTGTATTTGGAATCCAGTAACGCCTGTTCCTTGGAAATGGAATCTTCATTTTCGCGCCCATTAAGAACATCAACTTTCCTTCGGATATTTGAGCTTGCTGTCCAGTATGAAAAAATTCCCAAAGATGCATGATCAGTGAAAGTGGCAAAAAAAGTGGATAAGGATCAATTACAGGACAAAGATTGGTTTTAATTTATGGTGAAACCTTAAACTACAGAAGATAAGCTTTACTCGGCTATCATTTAACCCACCATCACAGAATAATTCCTCTCAGGCAAAGGAAAACAACCACAGAAAACAATCATACCCCGACGTAACGAAGCTCAACGATGAAACAATTGCACAAAAAGGAAATTAACAGGGAAGGAAGATTGAGGAGCTTGTAAGCCACATCACAATCAATGAAAAATAAATTCAAGATTCAAGTATCTGTGTCATCCGAGTACGATATACAATAACCAAAGTTCTATAACGATTAGGACGCAAGTGAAAATGAAATTCCAGACGGTCTATACGAAAATCCGAGTTTCTATGTATTCGTCGTTCTTAAGAGAAATTCCAAACAAACATCCATCTGACTTCTGTGATAACGAAACTCGACACTGAAACGATCGCACACAAAAGAAATGTTCATGGAAGCAAGATTTATGATCTTGTAAGTCGCATAATAAATTCATAATCAATGAAAAATCAGTTCAAGATTCAAGTTTTTGTGTCATCCAATTACGATGCATAATAATCAAAATTCAGTAACAATTAGGACACAAGAACAAGAGAAGATGGAATTCCAGAGGATATCTACAGAAACTAAGTATCAATACATATTCACCGCAACTTTTAAGAGAAAAAAAAAAGAAAACAAAAAGCAGAGTCAGAGAATCCACTATTCATCAAAGTGAAATAATATTATAATGAAATCACTGTTGAATTGAAAGTTAAGACGCAGCGATGATAATCAAAAATGCGAAAGATGAGGAAAAATAAAGAAATCAAAGTAGAAAGCTGCAAACAGAACAGTAAACAAAGTACCTGATAATTGAGATTCTTGGAAACCGTTCTCAGACGACATAACGACGGATCTGAGCTTTTCATTCATCATGATTCATCTTTTGGCGAGGAATCCCGAGAGAGATTGAAGGAGGAAGAGAATATTTTTTAAAATTTGGAGACGCAAATGACGAAAGTTATGAATTGATTAGAACACTAATCCCTGTTTGAATAGCGAAACGGCTGCAGTTACGCAGAGGCGGGAGCGGGACACTTGAATATTTTGAATTATAATAGCGTTAAATTACAGGTTTGATCTCTAAATTATTATAATTGTATTTAATAAATCTTTAAATTAAAAAAATATATATCTAATTATGTGTTAAATAAACTTGTAATTATGTGTTAAATAAATAAAAGTGTATAATAGATCGGAACTTTTTCAAAATTAAAAGTTATAAAAAGAGATTAGATAGGGTCAAAAGTTCAAAATCTATCAGTTACATTTAAAGTTTGGGATAAAAATATAATTTAACCTGTAATTTATTATAAATTAGAGTGAATTTAATTTCATGCTTAAACTTTCAAATATTACATTAAAAAATACACACAGTTTTTAATAGGTAAAATTATAAATCATAATTGGAGGTATATGTCAATTGTCGCTGAGTTATGTTTGTTTTGGATTTTAATCTTTAAGTTAATAAATTACATTTAAACGAGTTTAAGTTGTGCATCATATGTCAAAAAATTATAATTTTATTTGATTTTTTTTAACAAATATGACCTTATATAGATAGAGATATTTAACTTTCAATAATATATCCTAATATTTTAAAGTTAAACATTGCACAAGAAGAAAAAATTAATCTTAAAATAGAAAGATGCGTTCGACTAAAGTACACAGAAGATTAAATGGCATGTTTTAGTCTCTAAACTTATAGTTGCATCTAATTAATTTTATTTTTCGAGTATAACGAATGTGAAAGTAAAGACGTAAACTACAAAGAAAAAGAGAAAAGAAAAAAAGATGGAGATTTAAATTTTTAATCTAAAAAATGAATAGACTTGGAGTGTGTTTGGGAGTAATTTTGATAAGGTCAAAATTAATTACTTTTGTCATTATAAAAATGACTTTCTTATGGATGATCACGTAAATTAAAAATTAATTTTAGAAAAGTTTAAAATCACTTTAAATTGATTTAAAATCGAGAAATACATTATATTTAAATTTATTTTTTTTCAAAATCACTTATTTTACCGTGGTTCCAAATTTCCTTAATTATTGAGTTATGAGTCATACTCATACTACTGCATCTACTTTGAAATATTTCTAATATGTGTTTCAAATTTTTTAGCATATTTTAAAAAGTTTCAAATAAAAAATAATATTTTAAAATAATAAATAGTCAAACTGATGAGCACCATCCAAATTATGGCAATGAACTGTTACTACCCTAATATGCTAATTAATAATTACAAATATGGAAATGCATTTAATGTAAAGAAATCTGGGCATTTAATATTGAGCCATCTCTTCTAAGTTTGTAACTGAAATTTTTCTTTTAAATCTTTTATTTTCAAATTATTCAAAATTTTACCCGCTACTGACGTCTGACCTAATAATATAACTTAACGGTTATTGGTTAAAGCATCTTTACCATAGTTCCTTCTGGCATGATCAACATGTTTACTCTCATTTTGTACTATAATTAAAAAAGGAAAAAAATAAAGTAAGAAAAAGATTAAAAAAAATCCATAGTTTATTTTATTGATGTATCTTTCAAATGTTACTTTCTTTTATTACATCTTTCAAAATATTAGATTACTTGTAACTTTACAACGATATATTATTTTTTCTCTCGAACAATTATTATTATTTATTTATTGTTATTTTAAAATAAGGGAACGATTTTATTAAGAAAGGCATGCCACGCGGGGAGGAGATTTGTATCTTAATAACGCTTTGAAGCCAAAAGGGAAAATTAATAAGGCAGATGTTAGAAAGAGCGTTCTAAAGTCCATTTATTTTCTAAAAGATCAGCTACCGTACTTGTACATGATTGATCTCTCAAGGAACATGCATCAAGGATGAAGAAATGAAAGCAAGAGATTGATGATCAAAGTTGTGTATCTAAGAATGTTCATCGCTAATCGATTTTGGTCTTTTTGTTAAGGAGACTTTTCGGAACAGTTACTAATTTATCAAGGATGAAGAAATGAAAGCAAGAGATTGATGATCAAAGTTGTGTATCTAAGAATGTTCATCACTAATCGATTTTGGTCTTTTTGTTAAGAAGACTTTTCGGAACAGTTACTAATTTAAAAAATAACTATTGACTTTAACATAGAAGGGGAGATTTTCTTTTAGTTCAAGTCAGAGAGCATCTTACTCAAGTAAGAGGTCATCATTGTATGTAAACCGATAAATGTTTTTGATATGAAAACCGACTACCATTATTAAGTAAGAGGTCAAGGTCAACGAGTGTAAATACTCGGTATAGTTAATTGATTGTTGTCTTTTTCACGTTAATATCCTTAAACGCTAACTATCATATTCAATTAAAATTTTCACTTTATCAATTTAGAAAGTAAACTACTTGGTTTTGATATACAAGGAAAGATTAAGATTGCGGCTATAAAACCGTTACTAATATCTCTTGATCACAACTATTTAAGAAGAGATGAACAAGTCGTAAATGCTCGATACTAAAGATTGTCTGTTTCACATTACTATCCCTTTATAATAAATTAAACGTATTCAATTAAACTTTCACTTTACCCATTTAGAAAGTATCGATTTGTTTCGACAACAAATTATGATTGCCTCAAATAGTAATATTATTCATTCAATATATTGATTTTGTTAATTAAGAATATATTCTCAACCAAACAATCGAATGCTTGTATCTCTACTCTACGTATCGATAGTCAAAATAAGAAAGGTATTGGGTGAATACTTCTCGCTGTAAATTAAAATTATGACTGTATGGTAACTCATCTTTTAATTTTCTTTTAATTTCCTTTTTACTTAAAAAAAAGCTCGATTTTAACCAATTCTTTTCTTTTTCATACCAACTAATATTTGCTAATAACTACTTTTCGAACTTGCAACTTTTTATTAGTTAAAAAAAGGCAAATAATAATGATTAATCTATATAAAAAAAAGACTAATTCACTTTGTATTTCATTTTTTATGACAGAAATTCATTTTGTATTTTAATTTTGCCCAAATCATCTTTTGAATTGAAAAACAAAATTTGAGCTTTCCCGCCTAAATATTAGAAGACATTCAATTACAAATCTCTATAATCCCAGTATATTACAAATTTGACAATCATTTGATCTCTATAATTTTGAAATTTATATTTAAGATTTGAATTATGAAATTTAAATTTTACTATTTATTGTTTTACAATATATTTTCAAAAAAATTAAAACTTTACAAGATTTAATCATTCAAACGAAGATTTCTACTTGTTTAATTAAAAAATAATAATAAATAGAAAATAATTTTCTTCTCATGGCTCGATTTTCACCCACTCTAATAACACTCTAGTCTCGTATATCCAATAGTGTAAAATCGTCAGCCACATTATTCCAAAACACATAAAACACATAAAGTTTACTCGCCAAAACACCGAACCCAGGTAGCATGCGGCAAGTTTTCCAAATCCCAGTTTGGAAACATGTTAATGGAGTTTTGGCTTCCCTGTGAGGCGTCTATTCATTCAAATCCAAGCTTTTCATCAATGGCGTCCCTTCACTCTTCCTTAAATACCCTTCTTTCAAACCCCACTCTTTCACAAACCCTCTCTTCCAAACCCTAATCCCAAAAAATTCATTCAACACTCCGAAAAAATGGCTTCCCCGTCCCCGTCTCCGTCTTCGTCCTCGTTCTCGTCCTCCGAGTTTTACACCGTAACTCAGGAGGAATTCATCACGTTCCACACCATCGACCGGACCCTGTTCTCTCGGATGGTGTACACACTTGGGCGCGATTCCGACGAGTCGGTTCGCGTCATGGGGCTCTGGCTTTGGCTCGAGCAGAACGGCGAAGAGTTCAATTTGGTCCACAAAATGCTGTCGTTACCTGACGCGCTCGTCGACGCTCTGTCGGACGAGGCCGTCATGTCGTTGGCGTGCATAGAAAACGACAAATTCCCCTTCGAACCGGAGTCGTCGCCGTCGGTCGACATTCCGCTCATTCAGCACGTTTCGAAAACCCCGGTTTCCCTCCGGTTCTTCCACGAGAACCGCCTCAGAATCCTACGTGGCGTCTCCAAGATCATCAACGATATTTGCCTCCGCGCCTTTCACGACATTCTCCAGAATCTCGAGACCCAGCGCGTGCTCCCACGCGCCCCGTTGTACTTCGGCGCGGCGCCGGCGGCGGGTCAGTTCGTTGTGCCGAGCTTTGGGTTTGTGGGTCCGTCGGCGGCGATTAGGAGCGTGGGCGGGGAGCACCGGCGCGTGATCTTGAACGGCGAAGTGAGTGACGTGTTCAGGCGCTTACAGCTGAAGAGTGGGAAGGAAGGAGAAAAAGAAGAGGAATCGGTTCCGGCGGAGGAGAGGACAATTTTTCTTACGTTCTCCAAAGGATACCCAATCTCAGAAGACGAAGTTAGAGACTATTTTGCCAGGTTTTCGCTTTCCAATGTCTCTATATTCCTCTGCATGTCCAAAATTTTGTCATTTTTTTTTAGATTCCTGTGCCCTAGCTACTTAAATAACTATTAATTATCAACCCAAATATTTAAGTCCATTCATAGATTTTCAAACACACAAAACAAGTACACCCACGATTATCTGGTATCGTACCTTTTAGCCTTTTATCATGATTTCACTCATAAAATGTGGTAAAAAATTAAAGAAAAAACTTCCGCTCCTAAATATTTAGAAACAAAAGTTCTTTCTAAATGGATCAATCCAGATCATATAGATAAGTGAATAAATTATATAAAATAAAAAAAAAAATCTACTGGACCATGCATGAATCCTGGAGGAACTCCTAAATCTTCAAAAGAAAAGTTTTGTCCGAAAATTAATTTGTAATGGAGTTTGTAAATAGTGTTTTGTTGGTAAGGAATTAACTAATTGAAACCCTTAGGTTTCAATAGAAATTTACTATGTGTCTTTTGCTCATGATCAAATTTAATTTTTTACTGCATATTATATATAAAATGGTAGTGTATTTTGATGGTTTTGTTAAGTGAAATCATAGTACCAAATAATTTTCTCTATGCTTTACATAATCTCTCAAAGGTAAATTCCTTATGATCATGCACCCAACTCGATTATTGATAGAGTAAATAGATAATCTCTCTTCTAATTTAAAATCGTGGTGTAATATGTATCCCCTCATGTTCCGGTATTGAAATAAGTGAAATAATTACAAAAAATAGATTTGTGTTAAACCATGAAATCTTATTAGATATGGAGAATATGAGATACAATGTCAAAGATGAATAAATTATCAATCAACTCTTAAACTTAGACAGATAGATTTGATAAATTTTAGTTTAAAGATTTGATGTGTTGTGTGTTAATTAATGGTGTGTTTGGTTTTGGAGCAGAAGATATGGGAATTTCATAGAGAGCATTCACATGCAAGAGGTGCAGCCGCCGGAGCAGCCGCTGTACGCGCGGCTCGTGGTGAAGACCGAGCCATCAATAGACATCGTGCTCGAGTCCAGAACCAAGGCAAAGTTTTCCATCAACGGCAAGCACGTCTGGGCTCGAAAATATGTCCGCAAAAACAGCAACTCACGGTCGTCGCCGCTCCGGCCATCTCCGCCGCCGTCTCCGCCGCTCGATGGGATTAGGCCTTTCAACTTCCCGCCGCAGACGCCGCCCGCACCTTAAAAGTCTCCGGCCATCTGATCATACGTGGCGTTTGTGCGTTGGACGAATGAATTATATATATATATATATATATATATATATATATATGTATGTATGCTATCAAACCATAATGCAGGTTTTAGAATCTGTTTTTTTTTTTAATTATTATTATAGTTTTTACTTTTTATATTTAAGGAATAAATTAAAAATTGTGTTTTAATTTCGGTGCCACTGCCCACTGCCAACCTCAGTTCAGTGATGTTTATAGTGAGGCTGTTGGTTGGGCAAAGCAAATAATGTCTAAAATTTTATTTACAAATTTTCTCTATAATTTGCTCTTTTAAATTTGAGAACTTAAAAATAGAATATATATATATATATATATATATATATATATAAAGTGTTGTCCCTCCCTTTCAAAATATGTGCTTGGGCAAATCACGAGTTACATATTAATGTAAAAGAAAAACATATATGTATATATACTTTTTTTATTTGTTTGCTATTGCATGTTTCAACGTTCTTATTTCCATGATAGTGTTATGGCGACTAAATTGCATAAGTTGACTGATTAAGACATTACTACTTTTCTAAAATTTAGAGATTCTAATCTTCCTCTTTTCTGTTAAACTAGAAAAGGATTATCATTGTTCTTTTTAATCGGTTCTTACCATTTTTTGACGAATACAAAAGAAAGGGAGAAACATAGATATTTTTTCAGATCCATATAAATTTTGGGGTAGGGATAGGAAGTGAAATTTATGTAAAAACTCAAATTACAATAATTAAAATAATAACTTAAAAGTAGTCAATTAGAAATGTGACCCATTTAAAATTTTCTCTTCTTTTTTCGAGAACAACAAGTCATTCTCATGGAAGAGAGTTTCAATGCATATTGATTCATCCCCGACTGAATGGGAAATGCTTGCTTGAGATTGAAACTCAAGATCTTTTGGTAAAAAATAAGTAAATTTTTTTTCGAGTTCAAGAAAGGTGTGGTGATTGATTCAATTTTTTTTATTTAATGAAAAATAATTAATACACTTGAATTGACATTTAAAATTATATAAGTTAGACAAATTTGCTATATTTGTTATAAGAAAAAAAAAAGGGACACTAAAAGAGAGAAAGAAAGTTGTGGTTATTTGATGCTTCATGCTTGATAATGGTCACACCTCACCTTCACGCATATAGGTAGAAGCTTAATTGTATAAGTTACTAAGCCAGCTCTCTTTATTTGAGGCTGCTTCTCCAGCGTAACGACGTCGTTCAATGTTCCTCCTCTGCCATAATTTAACAATATATATTTTCAAGATCACAGCAAAGGCTTATAAAATCAGTGCAGAAGAAGCTTAATAATTTGGGGTTCATCTCAAAACCAATTGCAATGAGAGGAGTAACTCACTTATATTATAAACCTTTGGTTCAATATTCATAARGTTCAACCTTAAAACCAATTGGTAATGGTAGTAGTAGTCCGCTTATATTATAAACACTTGGCCGGATCCCATTTTCTGATCGGATTCTCGTTTGAGCTTTTGGGCTCCGATAACATATCAATATTCATGGGGTTCTGATCCATATCAAAACAAATGGCAATGAGAGAAGTAGCTCATGTTTATTATAAACATTATTTTATTAATATGGGATCCTAAACACTTACTATAATATCAAACATAAGATTATCTCAGCGGTAATTGACATTTGTTTCTGACAAGAAGTCGTGAGTTCGAAAAAAATAAAAAGATAAAAATTCACTCGCTACACCTTACAGTCGTTAATTTCTCCCTCTTAATTGTTAAGCATGTGGTGAGGATAAAATTTAAATTCACCGATAAGGAATGAAGCCCAACCCTAAATATCTGCGGGCATAGAGATTCCATCAACAAACTCTTTTTATATTTGACTACCTCTTGTAGTCCTAAAATAACTTATCATTGTATTAGTGCATATGTATGCCTAAAGAGAATAATAACGAAAAAGAATCGTACAAATTAAATACAAATTGATTTATAGCCCGACTCGACCGGTCGGGTCGGGTCATTTTTTTAGAAGAGTTAAAATAAATTACTGCCGGTGCCAGTAAGTCATTTAGGTTTTAATATTTCATTCTAATTTTTTTCATCTAATAAACTTTTAAACTATTTAAATATCTTTAAAAGAGCGTACTTTGACTGAAATTCTGTAGTAACATTAATTAGTTGCCAATAATACTCAATTTAAAATTTATAACATTATAATTGTATTGTTTATTCGTATTTGCCCTTTATCAAATTATACTCGTAAAAAGTTAATATAGATTCGACATTTGTTAGACGCATATCAAACACTTGTTAAGCATCAGAAATAGATCTAGATAGTAATATAGGACAAAATAATAAACTTTAAAAAGTAAAATACACTAAACTCATTTTTTCATACATAAAAATGTATAATCTTATTGGCTTTGAATGATTTTTAAAAAACGTGTTATAATGCACATATCCATACTTCTTAGAGTGAAACTGGAAGTAATAAATTCTCATCTTTAACGTTTCTAGAGATGTTATAGAACACACACTAAAGTTGTGTATTGGATAAAAATACAATTTACATTCCACTCCAAGATTGTGTTATGCCTTTGGACCCAAATTGCCGAATCCCCAAACACAAGAACTGTACAAGACAAAAGTGTCGTGCAACTTTTAGTTCAAAACAAATCATTCTTCTCATGCAATAACTAGAAACAATGCTGTTCCAGCAGACAGGGATCCATCCACACTTGCACCATATGCATACCGAAAAGTGAAGAAAGCCTCCTTTCTTCTTTTCATTGCAGACCCGACTCGTCAAACTTGCTAAAAACTGGTAAATCCACCATGGTTTTCCTCATCTGCTGAAGATCCTTGAGAGATAAGGGTATGGTTAAATTATCCCTGGCTTCCATTTCTTTTAGCACTGGGGAAAGATCGATGATCGGGATCTGTATGCAAGTCGATGATGGTTGACAAAACATTGTGATGAACTAACTCCTGTAATGGACTGGAGAGTGGTAAATTAAAACGTTCGAGGTAAACTCACTTCTTCTTCCTGCCGTAATGAACAGTCACTGACAGTATACTTACCATGCCAACTGAAATCGACGTTTAACTATCAGGGTGGGTACTTACTACTTACGATGCAGTAAACTCACTTTTTTCTACTGTAATGAACGCCACCGCCAATATACCGATGATGTGGATGACGTGGCCCACCACTCCTCCCACCAGACCCCTCCCAATTGTTCCCCCGAGTAGGGACTCTATTACCCCCTGTCTGCATCCAATTCATTGTTTGAGAGCCTAAGCCATTAAGCTCTTCCTCTTCCCGGTCATTGTACTCTAAGATTAACCTCTTAATATCTTGCTTCTCTTCTAGCTCTGCTGCTTCCTTCTGTTTTGTGCTCTGTAAAAGTGCGCAATCACGAGGGATGAACATCTTCTTCGTTTGCTGCTTGTTCCCACGCTTCACGAGAACTTTCACCTGAACCTCTTTGGTTCCACCAGCATCCTCGTCCAATGCCTCATCCCCACTCTCTCCCCCTACCCCCCTTCCATGGTGGTCCCTCGTTCCCTCAAACAAATTCATCGGTATCATCATATTCAATGTCGGTCGGCCACGTATCTCTTGCCTGCGCTGATCCATACTCTCCTGCAGTAGAATTCCAAAAAATTTAAACGCACTGATGCATTCATCAAGTCAAAATAAAACCTCGGATTTTAAAGTACAAAAATAGTTCTTGCCTGCATTACAGCCCTCAGCTCCTGCTCGAAGTTGGCTTCTTCTCGGGGGTCTACCTCAGCCACTTTCTGTCTAACATGAACCTCATCATCCTCATCCGAAGCAGGCCCACCCCCTTCTTCGTCGTCTTCATCATCCTCGCTGTCACCATCTTCATGATTCTCCAAGTCCGACTCTTCATCATCACGTCCCTCTGCCTCAATAGTGCCACTTCCTGTATCACTGTCACTATCGGCAACGTCTTCATGAGCTGCTGCACCATTTTCCCTAGAGCCATTGACCGTGTCCCTTCCGTTAGCTGAGGTGGTATTGGAAGTAGTTCTGCTGGGAGTTTTTTCAGCATCAAGGTGTTTCTCGGTATTGGGCTTATCACTTGATGAGACAGAACGCTCATGCTCGTCAAGTTCTACAAAAGCAGCATTTATTTCTTCAATGGATGAGTATCTAGTCATGTTTGGTTGCAATTCCGCAAATAAATCCTGCAAATGCAACAACTTTGTCAGCTTCTTTGACGTGTGGGAATGGAAGGTGATAAAATAAGTGAACACGCACTATTAAGCATTCAGCAAAATTTTTGAACCATCTACCTCGTTTCAAACTGACCTGTAAGTCGAACTCAACATCCAATGGAAGTGCGCCTTTGCTGAGAATATATTTCTGGAAGTGTATAAAAAACCGATCAAGTTTCCTCTTTGAAGATCCTCGATCAAAGTAGTGACCACAGGTTTGAAGAAGAGTGATAATCATCCGTATGCGGAAAGTGTCCTCGGGTGGATCCAGTACATCTTGCTAAAAGCAACAAAGATCAATCACATAAGCCTTGAAACAAAAACATCCACTTGGCCAAGCAGAACGAAACAAACATGTACTACATGAACCAGGACTCTATCCTCCACAACACTGAACGTACGTCAGGTGATGGTCTACTCCATTCATCGGACACAAACAAATTGCATATACCAAGGCTCAAGTCCTTACTATTAATTGCTTCACCCCCAGATTTTCACTCAACCACCGAGCATAAAAATAAACCAAACAAGAAAAAAGAAACAAAACAATTTCATACCTCTGATGTGCCATGGCCAAAGACAAGAATCAAATAGAGCGTATCAAAAACAACAGATGACTCTACAAGTTCATAGTTGTACAACTCCCCCAAAAACCGCATATGCGCAATGCGTTTTTGTTGCATCCCATAATCATTTACTTCAAGTCCAAGCCTAATTTCTTCCAAGACCTAGTAATCATAGAGATCAATAACAACAATCAAAGCGAATAAAATAGAGAAATCATAAATAAACAAG